CGGGCCAGCGGGAGCCCTCTGACCGGCCCCTTTGATTCCAGAGAAGCACCGGGACCTGGCCAAGGCCATTCTGCGGAGGAAAGGCATGCTGGGCGCCTCGCCGAACTGCGCCGACGCTCCTGGGAAAAGGTCTCCGCAGACGCCGCCCCTCCGCCCCGCAGCGCGGAGGCGGCCTGGGTCCTCGGGTGGGGGCCCAGATAGATGCTCCCTTTTACGGGCAGCGAGGGTCTCTCTTTAAGCTGACCAGGGGCTCTCCCTGGCTTTCAGGATGCGAATATTAGGGCAGGGCCCTGGAATAAGGGGCCTCGAGGTCAGCGCATCCATCCCAGCACCGTCCACGGGCGAGTCTGGCGGGGCCTCGCCACCGCTGTCCCCGGGGTGAGGCCGAGGGGGCCCCGTGGGAATAGCCAGTTGTGTGCTTTCATGGCACCGCAGGTTCCGCAGAGCTGGGTAGGACGTTATCCAGTGTGGCTGCCTCTTACTGACAAATGAGAGCCGAGCCTCAGACGAAGGACTTGCTTTCTCTGCCTTTTATGAACACCTGACGGCAGGACTTCAGGGCCCCGTGCTCGTGCAATGGGAGATGGGCTTTCCCCCGGGAGAGTGAGGAGCTGCAGGCGGCAGCGCGATGGGCGTGTGTGGGCAGCTGTTCCCAGACAGTCCCTGTGACATGCCCGTGCTTTCTCCTCTCCTCTCTCCGGTCCTTCCACGCAGCTCAGTGAAATTTAACAAGGGCTACACGGCTCTTAGCCAGAGTCCAGATGAAAACCTGGTGTCCCTGGACTCCGACAGGTCAGTGCTCCCGTGGAAATGCCCCTCGGGAGGTTAGAGGGCTAGAACACCAGACTGCTTGGTGCCTGTGCTGGTTCCTGGTCTCCTCCGTGGCTCTTCATGTATGTCCCAGGCCTGCCCTCTACTGACTACTAGCCCTTCCTGGGGTGGCTTGGTTAGAGTCTACGGGTGACTGGCTGCTCTTGGGTGTGGGGCACCCATGCTTGAGGGAGTCATCTGTGCATTGCTGGGGAGAGAGACCCCGGCCCTGCCTGAGCCGACTGAGGGGCTCTTTGCCCTTGCTCCACCTGCCCCCCCAGTCCCCTGGGCATGCTCAATGGTTAGAGGGTTAGAGATGTTTTCCGCAGGCATTCCTGACCTATCTCCTCTTCTCCTAGCGATGGAGAGCTCGAATCCCGCTACTCCTCTGGGTATTCCTCTGCCGAGGTAAGTCCAGAGCACCTTTCTGGTCAGGGCCAGACTGATGCTGCCTGTCCATGCTGTACGCCAGCCTGTTCTCCCACCTCCTACACTGCCTCTTCCCCCAGCAGGGATATAGGTCTCTGAGGAGGGCTGGGGAAAGCCCAGGTGACCATAGACCACAAACTGGAAGGAACTTCACAAGTTTTCTAGTCTGGTCAGCTTTGAGAAAAGCAATCTCCTTGAGACAGCCCAGCCACGTTTCCTCGTCTCTGGCCGCTCAGATGCCCTGGTGCCATAGGAGTTACACGTTGGGCCACTAATGTCAAGGTGAACCATTCAAAACCACCAGAGGCTCCCTCCTCTTGTAAAGAGTTATGGTCTCGGAAACCCACAGGGGCCGTTCTGTCCTGCCCCTCAGGGTCACAGTGAGTCAGAATGGATTCAGTGGCAGGAAGTTTGGTGAGACTAACTCCGAGCAACCTCCTGCCCATCCTCACCCCCAACACACACACACACACACTCTCTCTCTCTCTCTCCCAGGAATGGCTTTTAGAAAATTCCATTGATTTGAAATCTCTCCTGTGGCCTGGTTCCATGGTCCTAGGCCCCTTCTCCAGTGTTAACAGTTAGCCTAGTCTCCCTTCTTTTGATTGGCTCCTTTCTGAGGTCAGCATTCCTGCCCTCTTCCACCTACCCTCCAGCCAAGCTTGCTTCCTTCCTGACCCGCCAGCTTGTTCCTGCAGTTGTTCCATCTGTGGGAACGCAGACCGAGCGACTCCTGGGCTGGCCTTGTGACCACTGGCAGATGTGGAGTGCTGGGGACATGACTCTCCACCACGTATTCTTCCCTAGTCTCTTGGAAACCCTTGGCTGCCCTCTTGAGTTTCTGCCAAAGGGAACAGGGGCAAGTGTGCAAATTGTGTGAAGACCAAGAAAAGAAAGTGTAGCTGAGAACAGGAGGCAGCCTCACACTGTTCCCAGCCTTCTTCCCTTCTTGGTGCCCAAGGGAAACTGGCAGAGCCAGGCTGACAGGTTCCCCAGCCCTGCTGACACTGAAGCATGTCTAACCAGCAGGGTGGAAACTGCCCCTCACCCTGCGCCATTGTTGTCTCCAGATAAGAACCAGCCTAGATTCCCAGTGGGGAAGGTCAGGGCATTGACTTTCCCGATCTGGAATCCGATCTTTGAGTCAGAAGCCTCAGGGTTTAACGACAGAAGCAGGGTCAGTGACAGTGCAGCCCAGGCAGTACTGGCAGAAGGAAAAGGTGGCACTCCCTCCTATGGGGTGGCAGCGGGGGTTGGGATGGGGCAGTGCATAGACCCTAAGCCCTGGTGCCCTGCCCCACTTCTGCCCTTCCAGCAGGTGAACCAGGAAGTGAGCCAGCAGCTGCTCCGGGATGGGTACCACCTAGATGAGATCCCAGATGATGAGGACTTGGACCTGATCCCCCCCAAGCCCATGACCTCCTCGGCTTGCTCCTGCTGCTGGTGCTGTCTGGGAGACACATCCTCCTGCACCCTCCAGTAGATGAAACCCCGATGCCGGTGGCCTGCAGAGCCCTTCATGATTCCAAGTGTGTGGTGGGGACGCTGCCCTGTCAACCCCACGCTCAATGGGGCACAGAGACTCCCCTGGGCAGGTCAGCAACTGGCAGAGCCCTTGTCTGGTGCTGCTGGGGCCAGGGGCCCAGGGCCCCACCTGGTCCACAGTGGAGTCTGCTGGTCCCCTCGTCTGCTCGAACAATATGGAGAAGCCCCTTGAAGAACAGAAGACGGAGGATTTTGGGTTCTTGTGGGTGACAGAGTGGCTAAGAAAAACACCCACAGACATCGTGACTGCTATTTATCCTTAGACTGGGGGGCCAGCAGCAGCGAGAACCAAAACAGCCTTCGTGCCTAGGCTGGCTGGACAGTGGCACCTGGGGAGTTTTGGAAAGGATTTGATTACTAGGGACCAGTTCAGGAACCCCTGGCCTGGATTGAGTCCTCTAAAGGGGGCCCAGTGGGGAAGAGCCTCAAGTCTGCCTCACCTCAGGGTGGGCCTGCAGGTCTGAGCAGGGCCCGGAGGACCACAGGTTACTTCCTGGAATCCGGGAACCTGGTGTCTTCCCAGGTGCTCAGTCTGGCTAGGTGTGGTGAATGCTCGGAGCCTCCTCAGAGGAAAACTGTGTTTCCCACATTGCAGATTGAGTTGTGCTGCCTGCCTCGTGGTGGCCATTCCCACTTGACCCAGTCAGTGTGTGAGCTAAGGGAGAGGGCTGGCCCCATGCGCCTGCGGTTTTTGTGGTCACCAGCAGAGGGAGCTGCAGGAAGCATGCTGGTGCAGCTGTGTTGCTTTGGCCAAGACTGAGGCTCAGAGGATGAGAGGGAACTAAGCCAGCTCCTCCCCTCCACCAGCAAGGAGCCACCTTGTCTTCAGCCCTCCTGACCCCTTAGCCAGCAGGGGGCTACCTTCCAGGGCAGCAGGGCCTCAGGCCCTTCGCTAGCCAGCTTCCCTGGCTGTGCCGGGCCTCGAGGATTTGGTTTTCGGCGGTTCCTCCTTTACCTCACCCAGGATTGAGGGTTTTCACTCGAAGTGGGCCCCTGCAAAAGGGTGCTATATGTCCTGTGGTGGCTTTGAGGCATGGGGGAGGGCATGGACTTCTTATTCTGTCGCACGGGATCTATTTGGAAAACTGACTCAGCTAGGTAGGGAAATAGGGCCTCATCCTTGCCAGACCACTTTCCCCATAGGGGTGACCCTATCAGTGCTTGCCTGACCCCTATCTTTGTACTTTGCTCAAATTGGGGGAGGTGGAGGGGCTGTAGGTACCCAGGGGGGCTGGCCTACAGGACTGCCTGATCACTGCAGCAGGGAGGGGACAGAGACAGGTCAGGTTGGGGCCCAGGAGTTGGGAAGGCAGCTAGGCGTTTATTCTGTTGTGGAATAGGCCCCATGGGCTCGCACCATGCTCAGGCTCTGAAGGTCTCTGGAGCACACCTCCATCCTGACCACGTGGCCCCTGCTCAGGGACCATCTCCAGGCAGAGGTAGAGAGGTGCACCTGAGGATAGAGCTCATGGAAGACTGTGCTGGAGGGGAACACACACTGTGGAAGCCAGTCTCCTGGGGGGGAAGCTAGCTAGGGCTCGGCTGCTGGGGGTGAGGGTGAGAGCAAGACCCCCAGGCCAAGGCCCTCTGGGCACTGTGGCTGTAACAACGCGGGTGCTGGGCTGGAGCTGTCTCTGGAGAGGGTGTCGCAGAGCTGGCTGACCCCATGTGGGAGGCATTTCCTGTGTGGGCTACGCTACAGGGCCCGGGAGCTGACTACAGCAGGGCAGGTGGAATGGTTCGTTCTTTGAGGCCAACTGCCACAGGTCCAAATACCAACCAAAAAGGCACCAAGGTGCCCAGAGCCAAACTGCCTTAATTCAGGGTGCTGGGTGTTCCACAGGTGATGGTCCCCTGGGGAGAAGGGGGGGCACCTGAGCTGACTTGACGGATGGGGTGGCAGTTAACATTTATATAGTATCCCACAGAAGCCTGGCTCATCCTGTAGCTGTCAGTTGATGAGAATAAATGCCATCATGCTACAAGAGCCTTGTGTATCTGTCACAGTTGTCATTGTTGCTTCTGCATTCAGGTGAAAGCAGTCTGTTGCCCTGCTGCAGTCACTGTTTGGGGAAAGCACGGCTCTCACTGGGCAGAGATCCTTCTGGACACCTGGCAGGCCTGCTTCACGGGCAGGTAGACCTTGCACATCACTGTTCGCTTTAGAATGGGCCCTGGTGGCAGACCCTTTCCCGGCTGTCACCTGCCATCGTGTCCACTCTGATCGCTAGCAGCTCTCTAGGGCAGGGTGGATGCCCCCGGGGGTTCCGAGACAACCCTTCACAGAGTCAGAAGCCACAGCTGGCAGTGCCATGAGCAGCTCAGTGCACGAGGCGCTGTGCCAGGCAGCCCTTTGTCTTAAAGCTAAAAGACTTTTGGAGGCTACATAAACCAAAACCAACGATTGGCCAGAATTCACCGAAGCCTGTTTTCTGGAGCTGTGCTGTAAGAGAACTCCACCAAGGCCATTCAGACCCCGCAGGACGGAGCCAGTGGCCTTGGTCTCCTGTCTGGGGTGAGTCAATCACAGGCCAGACCCTGGCAGTCGCAGCCAGTTGTGCACCTCACTGTCCGTTGCTGGACAGTGGGCATATGAAGAGGAGACACCTGGGGACCTCCTGCCAGCTCAAGAAAAGATCACCCTACAGAGACTGTGCTCAGAAGAGGTGACACGTTTTTGGTGAAGGGGTCAGATAGCTTCCGCTTTGTAGGGCATTCGGTCTCTGGCAGCTCCTCGGCTTTGCCTCACAGTTGGAATGGAGCCAGTGGCTGGACAAGTGAGTGGTGGGGCCAGCCAGACTGGGGTGCCGATCCTGTTGTCAGAGCCAGTGAGACACGGGACTGGTGCCCACTGTACTGTCTGCAGCCCTGCTTGTACATTCACTTCTGAGACCGACACTGCTCTCTGGCCCTCACACTCCGCGATATAAAAGGACTCTCCAGTGTGTCTCACCCACCCTCGGAGCCTGGGGAGCGAGAAGAAAGCAAAGAGGTGCCACCCAGGAAGAGCTCTCGGTTCACTTCAGGGCCTGAGACATCTGAGGCAGAATGCTCTTCAGCCTGCAGCCTCCACACCAGAGCTCTTTAATAGTTGCTTGACACAGTAAGTGGGCGATGGTGAGCACACTAGGCCACAGGCCTGCCCGCCTGCTCTGCTGCTGGGAAATGGGCAGACCTAGACCCCGGCTCACAGGTGTTCATGACCTAGCCTCCCATCTTGTGGTAGATCATGCGGTAGCCGGGTGACATGGGCTGGGGCAGAGCCCAGGTGAGCCAGGCTCAAGAGTGGTAAGAACACAAGGGACTGTTGGTCCTTAGTCGTCCCCCCCCAAAAGAGGATGGTTCAGTCTGGGGTATTCAGTGTTGTTAACTCCCCCCCACCCCCCTTAGTATACTTGGAGAGCGCTGGGCCTTGGGAGGCAGGGCTGGCCCAGACGCGGGGCACCTGCAGAGGCGAAGGCTACTGTAGCAGACAGCAGGCTCGGAACATCAGCAGGTCCTGGGGCACCGTCAGCTTCAGCACGATGCTCTCGTTAGCCCCAATGAAGAGCACTCCACCGCGCTGCAGGGGGATGGGTGCCTGGACCGTGGGTGTGCTGGCTGTGACTGTCCCCTGCACCATCAGGAGGATGCTGGCAGAATCCAGTGCCAAGACCTTGTACTCCGTGGCAGAGCCGGGGACCTGGGCAGGAAGCAACGTGAGGACGATGCACCAGACTCCTCTCAGCTCACAGGGGCTCAAACCAACTCCAAGGGCCACCTCCTCCCCAATGGCTCAGGCTCTGGTCAGCACGGAGGCTGACACAGGCAGGCCGGCCCTGGGGCCGCCTCTGACCACTGCAGCTTGACCAAAAGGGATCCTCACCCCAGGCTGCTGCCAGCCCAGGCAAACTACACACCTCGGCTCCTGCCAGGGTTGCTTGTGCCACCCACGCGGGCATCCACTCACCTCCATCCTCATCACAGCGAAGTCCGGCACCGGCGGGGCATAGATGGACAGGCACGGGTCTTCGGGACTGCGTGTGGGCGGAAAGAGTCTGTCCTTGCTGGAAGTTGGGGTGTAGTTGAGCATTTCACACAGGGTTGGCACGTCGATGAACTTGGGGGTCAGGCCGGCGCGCACCGTGTTGTCAGAACAGGCCATGCACTCCACGCAGTCTGGAGATAAAGAGTCAACACGTGCTAAGCGGAGGCGTGCCCTCAAGTATAGCTTGCTCCCGGGGGCTGGGCCCTTCCACCTGGGCTCCACGAAGCAGAAACTGCTTTTGCATTCTCGCTGGGAGAAGGAGCCAGGAAAGACAGGTAACAGGTTACCTGCTGTCATCAGGAGGCCAGTTAGCCCTTGGGGCAGCCTCAACCCCTGGACTATTCTCACGGAATCCCGGGCATGCAGACATAAGCAGCCAGGGGTCAGAGCTGGACAGCCTTCTGTGGTCACAGGACCACCTCTGGGTGGATGAGGCAGACGTGCAAGGGCCGGGTGAAGCGGAAGGAGGATCATCAGCCTTGTGTCTGGGACGGCTAAGGCTGTCCCCCTCCTGGAGGCCCCACCATTGAGCATCCTGGCTGGTGATGGGAGGGTGCCAGCAGTGCCCAACACCAAGCTGGCCCGCAGCAGGCTCCTGTGGGCCACTCGCCCGCTGACCCCAGGGATCCTAGACCAGGGCCTTCCAAAGGGAAATGGTGGTCTCCACCACCCTTTGGGCCTCTTCGGGAAAAGGCCTGAGGGGATGCCCTGCTGCTTACCTCCTTTCAGGTAGGCGTGGGGCACATTGGCCTCCAGAAACATGGCCTCCCCGGGCTTCAGGGTGAGCAGGTTCAGGAGGTAGATGGCAAAGCAGCCGATGTCCCCTGGGTACTGCTGGTGCAGCTCTAGCAAGAGCTCTCCACACACATCTGCCATGTTGTTCCCAGCAGCCACTGAGGGTCACAAAGGGCCCAGAGGCCACTTAGGAACCCCATGGTGCTCACAGAGTTGCCGTGCCCGGGGGGACCAGGGCTCCCTGGATATGAATCCCTGCCTGCACAAGTCCAGAGGCCCCAGTGGGTCTGTTGCAACCACACCCCCAAACTTGAGAAGTCTAACTTTTCTTGATAGTCTAGCCTGAATAGATGGCCCCTGTCCCCCCCATTACATCCTAAACTACACGAATCACCATGAGAGTCTAGAGTGGTCCTAGGACAGGGTTTCCCAGCCTTGGCACTACTGACCGTTGGGTCTGCATCATTATCATTGGACATTGTCCTGGACTGTGAGTGATGTTTAGCGGCGCCCTGGTCTCTAACCCACGAGATACCAACAGCAGTTTTAACAACCAGTAATTGTCAATATTCCCAGGGAGGGGGGCTCCCTGTGGTTGAGGACCATTGCTCTAGGGATGTAAAACCTAGTTAGGGAGATAACCCCAAGCAGTTCCATAGAACCGACCAACCGTCCTCATCGGTGCAGGACTGATTTGACCATGGCAAGTCCAATTGCCCAGCCAACCAGCATGGCTGGCTACCCCACTGGCAGGAAGTCCTGGAGTCTAACCAGGGTGGGGATGAGCTCAACTTGGACTGCAGTGGGAAAGGAAGGTGTCTCGGAGGGCAATGGTGGTGGATGGGAGGCGCTTTGTGTGGAGGAGCTGTGTGTGAGGGTACAACAAACCAGCAGCTTGGGGCTAGGGGTGGTCAGTCTGCATCCTGAGACTTGCTGAAAGCCCACTTTGCTGAGGCCTGGGGGGCACATGTGGGGACTGGGGGTGCAGGTCACTGGCCTGGTGAAAAAGCCCGTTTGGCAAGTGTACACATGAAGGCAGACTCATGCGTGCCAGGGGCTACCCCTCATATGAGCAGGGGGCATGTCCTACCCTGGGGCTTGGGGCAGGGCGATCAGTTCTTGTGTGAGTCCATGAATCCTAAGGGAGAGGCACTAGGCAGAACAAACGAAGATGACACTAGTGGAAAAGAGTTTTGATGGCCTCAGGATAAGCAGAACAGACCTCTGGGGCCTTCAGGAGGAAGGACTCGGGTGGCCGGGCTAAGGAGTGGAGCGCCTTCCTCTTCCTCAGTGCCGCTTCATCTCAGCGCTGGGAGCTTTTCCTGCCTTAGGTTCCCCACTGCACGTGTCCACTCAAGGCAGAACCAGAGGTGACGTGACCACCTGTCAGGGTCTACTGCTCTACTTTCTTCAGCTACGCAAGGTTGGGCATTTACTAGGTATTCATGGAAAGGTCTCATTTGAGAACTCTGGGCTTGAGGCCTTTGGAGAAAGGGGGATCCCTTGCTTTTCCTAGCCCCCAAACACGGCCCACTTAGCTGGAGCAGCCACGGGGCTCAAGGAAGTCTAGGTGGGAAGGCAGCTAGCGTCTCCCAGGCCAGTCCACAAAAGAGAAGGAACAAAATGCTAAGTCATCGATACTGGATCCAATTGAGTGTCCTATTGGGACAAAGGGGCTGAGAGCCCTGTCTCCGAGGCTATGCCAGGGGGGTCGGGCTCGGGCACTGAGCCCAGCCCCCCAGGCCTATGGCCACACCCACCTTGCTGGGAGATCCGCTTCACCAACAGGTTGAGCTGCTCCACTACCACCTTCTTCTCGCTCCTCATCAGGTGGGAGAAACAGGTGCACAGAGCAGAGGCCACAGCCTGGTCGCCGAGGCCCAAGCTCTGCTTCAGCTGTATGGCCGCATGATCGCCGACCAAGAACTGGAACTCAGGCACCTCTGCAAGAAGGCCGGGTCCAGGGTCTCACCAGAAATGCCAGATGGCAGTGGCCCAAGGGAGGCATAGGAGCAGGCCGCCCCACCCTAATCCCAGCCCTGCACGCACGGGTGATGCGACTGCACTAGCCAGTGACGGCTGGCTCACCACCGGCTCTGTGGGACCCCACAGAGCCTGTCCCACTGGTTCTCGGAGCTGCTCCATTTCTGGGGCATTTGGCCTCTGTTCTCGGCCACCGCTCCCACTCCCCACATACCAGACCCAACCTGAACGTCCCGGGACCTTACTCTTCAGAAAGGTCACGATCTCCTCGACTGGCCGGAAGCCACACAAGCCCTGGAAGGAGGTGAGGGCAATGGCCATCTCGGGCTTGTGGTTGGTGTCGGGGTAGTGCTCTGGAGCCTGGAGGTGCAGCTTCTCCGCTCGCTCCTGTGGGGTGGCCAGGGTACAGCACCACTTCGTCCTGCCCAGCCCCTGCTCTCACCCTGCCCAGTCGCCAGATGGCAGTGACTTCCTGACCCTGGCAACAAGCCCAGATCCGATGCGGAACTCGGGGTTTGGCCAGGGCAGGGCAGGGCAGGCTGGGGCAGACTTAAGAGGTCTGGCCTGAGAATCAGGAAACCCAGCCACCAGGCCAAGCTCCAACAGGAGCTCTATGACTTTGGGCCAACCTCTCCCCTCTCTGGGTTTTTGCCCATCTAGAAATGAGAGGTTTGGACAGAGAGTTGCTTGAGTGGTGACTCAGGGCTTGTGCAGAAAGACGCCATGGAGATACTGCTGTGCCAACAGCTAGGCACCTGCTCCTCCCTGGAGGTGAACTCTGAGAGAACCAAGTGGCAAGTTGGTGGATGCCGATGAACGAACCTGGGTTGACTGAGGGCAGCCGAGAACAAGCCGCCTAGGAATGAGCTTGGAAGAGCTCTCCATGTACAGGCGGGTCAGCTAGCTCCGTAAGCCCAGCTGGCCAGAATATGTCACCTCGTCTCTGGCCTTGAAGAGCTAAATTGGGAGTTGTCAGGTCTGAATTTAGCTTTGGGTGGAGCCTGACGTGGGCAGGATCAAAGCAGCAATAGAAGCCAGGAAAGGGCCATGGCTTAAGCCCTCTTTGCCCTGACCTCTGTGGCCCACCCCCCTCCGGTACCTTGTCAGGATGGGCCTGGATGGACAGGGCAGTTTTCACTGATAGCACTTTGAAGAGGAAGGGTAGCTGGCCTTTAAAAGTGTCCTTGACCTTGGACCCCAAGCAGTCCTGGTTCTCAGCAATCCACTGGCCTAGGGTCTTCTGCGAGATGCGGTTGTCAAGGATCTTGGCATCCCCCCGGGGATGGGTTCCCATCCATAGCTGGAAAGGCAAAAACCTTGGGAGGAAAGCTGCAGAACAGCACCACTCGGCTGCCTGCCCCTACCAATCACCCCCTCCTACCCACAGGGCAGCTCCCGAGTCCTAGGGCAGGGCCCCCAAGACTGCCTGCTCACCCTGGGGCAGTCGCTAACTTACAAGGAAGGAGGCAGCGGGGCTGCGGAGCACCCGTAGCTAGGAGACCCAGGCTCAAGTCCAGGTCCTGCCCTCCAACCAGCTGTGGGAGTGAAGCCTCCCCATCTGGTCTCCCTTTCTTCCTCTAGCCTGTGAGGAGCATGACCAGGGCGCAGCCGGGTCACAGCTCTGTGAGGGGTTCATATGAATTTACTGCAGAAGCAGAGCTAATCTCTCCACTCAATGGGCAACAGAAGGGAACGTTTCAGATGAATAAAAACGCAAAAAAGTGGTCAAAGTCAACATTTAATGGGCACAGCGTGTGCACCCAAGCTGAGTTTGATTACCAAGAGACCAAGGAGTTCGGAGAGTTCTTGGGAGAAAGGGGGACAAGCAAGAGTCCCCCCTCATCACCTCCCGTTTGTCCGTCTGCACTGAGGAGCCAAGCAGGGTCTCTCCGTCTTGCCCACTTCCCAGCACATCCTAGGATCGGCCTCCAGGCTCACCTCTGCATACGGCTTGTCCTCGGAGATGCGGGCCAGTGGGTCACTGCTGGCCAGCAGGAGGGCGACCTCGCTGTTGGATCCTAACTTCCCCCAGGCATACTGCTGTACCACACAGGAGAGAGGGAACACTGCGGACAGACAGGGGTCAGCCTCAACTCCACTCCTCGGGCCCGACCCTAACGTCCTGCGGACAAGCTGAGCCCCACTGAGCGTAGGGTCAACTAACAGGCTTGCGAATTGGCCGGTGGCAGCGTTCTAGGGCTAAGCCAGCCTCCAGATTCCCAGCGGGAAAAGGGCGGGCAACTATCTTCTGCGGACTAGTGCCAGGCAGCTGCCTCGGAGGAACGCGGGGAAAACGGGGTACCCATCCCGCGGCACCGCGTCTTGGAGGAGCGGAGTCCCCTTCCCTGGGACCCGCCCTCAAATCCCTCTCCCGGGGAAAGCACTAAAGGACCCCCTCCTCGTCGCAGGTGCTCCATCCCCTAACGGGCACCCATCCGTCTTTCAGCAGCGGGGTGAGCCCGACCTGGCCGATCGGGCCTGGCAGCGTCCGCAGGATGCGACCCACTCCCACGCTAGCCAGCACCCCAATTCTCCGCTCACCTCGTTGAGCCGCCATCCTCGTAACCCGGAGACCAGCTTTCTCACACCGCACGTACATACGCTCTCCCGGCACCACCCGCGGTCTCTCTGAGCCCAGAGCTTCATGGGAAATGTAGTTCTTGGAGGACACGCCCAACGCGGCCACGCCCCCACCCTTTCTCCACCACTGACTCCTCACAGGCTCTTTTTGGCCCCTCTGCCCAATCTTAAATATCTTTATTAACTCGTTTATCCCTTCATCCAACACATGTTTATTGAAAGTGGCAAAAATGGACTGGAGAGGAAGATCATGACTTGAGAAGAGCCAGCTCTGCCTGTTTTAGAGATTCCACCCTAGAGCAGGAAGACGGGCATCAACTCAGTGCTATCCAGTGGATTCTGAGTCATGGCCACCCTGAGAGGGCAGAGCTGCCCTTGTGCATTTCCACCACTGTAACGTTTCACGGGCCTAGGAAGCCTCATCTTTCTCCGACAAAGCAACTGGTGGTTTTGAACGGTTGACCTCAAAGGTCCAAGGGAGGGCCACCACCACCAGGGCTCCTGGCGAGTTGAAAGGTGGTGAGTGGAATGGTACAATGTCAGGAGGGGTGGGAAGCTGCTCAAAGGGTGTGAGCTTCCATGAGGTGAGACTTGAGCAAAGCGTGGAGGTGCAAAGGAAGATGCAAAGGAACAGATAAGAAACTCCGGAATGTACCTGTCATGGTGAATGTGCCTGTCATGGTGAATGTGCCTGTCACGGTGAATGTGCCTGTCACGGTGAATGTGCCTGTCACGATGAATGTGCCTGTCATGGTGAAGTGTGGCTAGAGCTGAGTCAGCAGGAGGCGGAGTGGGGCGGAGGTAGTGAGCAAGGCAGACAGGACTTGTTGGGGCTTTGCCATGAGTAGCTCAGTCAGTAGAGGCTTTGACCAAATCACTGCTTATATCTAAGAGGGAGCTCAGGAATGCTTGATGACTGACTGCAAATGCCATCTGCGAGGCCCATAGCCTCTCTAAGCTTGGATCTTTCTTCCTCTGTAAAACGGGAGTCCTAGTGCAGGCCTTGCAGACCTGTTTGAGGGTGAGAGGGGTTGAAGTGAGGTGCTCCAAGCCAGTTTGCACTCTGATCCTCCGGCCCTAAGTGCTGGGGAGGCTGAGAAGCCCGGTTCCTCCTCCAGGCTGAACTACTAGAGGAACAAACACAAACACACACAGAAGTCTGAGAGACCAACCTGGAGCTCAGCAAGCGGAAGTTTGCAGGCCCCTGGGGCTGGGACTTGACTATGGAGTAATTTTGTTACATCCGATGGAGAAAGGCTCTCACCTCCTGCCCTCTGGCAGCAGCCTAGGCAGAGGGCAGCCAGTGGGAAGGCCCCAGAAACACAGGGGCCACTGTCCTGTTTTTTGTACCCCACTCAAGAGTCCCCACTGATTCCCACAGCCTCTAGCACACTTGTTGCCCTGGGGGAAGAAAAAGGGGTGCTATTTGCTCTATAATCTTCACTCCAGATGGGGACCTCCACTTTCCCTGAGGTTCCTGGCTTAATATATCAGTCCCCACTGCAACAATAACAACAGAAAGTTTCACCACATACGAAGGAAGGACAAAGTGACAAAGACAAAAATCTCCAAACTGTGCAGCTCGCCTGTGTCTCCTGTTGTGAACTACCTCGCCCACTTTGTCATTCCCTGTCCTTGGCAGACGCGCTTCCTGGGAGAAGAATGGCTAGCTAAGGCACAAGGGTTTCTCCACAAGGCCCGTGGCCTCTGAGCTTGAATCTTCCTTCCTCTGTAAAGTGGGAGTCATAACACAGGCTTTGCAGACTTGTTGAGATGGGGTGTTGTGGGGTACTGTCGTCATATCACCACCACCACCACCACTGAAATCAGACTTAAGATCATTTCCACATGGTATTCCTACACAGAGGAGAGAATGCAGATGGATGAGGGAATAGAAACCCCACTCATATACACCCCCAAAATATACCCCTAAGGGAAACTTGTATTTGAGAACCTCCATCTTTCCATCGCTACCTCTCACTCCTTTATCTTTAGCAGAATCACACCTTACTGCCTAGTGATGACTCACTTTCCTACTCACTGCCATCGCGTGGACCGCGAGCCTATTGGACAGGGTAGATGTGCTCCTGTGGGTGTCTGAGACTGGTAACTTTACGGCAGTAGAAAGCCCTGTCTTTCTCCCAGAGCAATGCAAGGGGAAGGGAGAATTAGCAGTCGTATAGGAGCATTAGTCCTGGGTAAGAATGACTGGCTGCATTTGGTGGCAGCAGAGACGAACAAAGAGAGTAAGTATGTGGTGGATTGCAGGAGCCTGGGTGGCCCCAGCAGTTTCTGGTGCAGTCACACAGGGTGTTAGAAAGACCTGATGACCTGGCTCTGCAAAGATTACCTCGGGGGCCGCTCTGCTGGGTCACATGGAGGCAACTGTGTGACTCAGGCAGTGGATCAGCCATCTCCCTCAGGGCTGACAGAGCTTTTGCTTCATTCTCATTCATGAAATAAATGTTTGAAGGCCAGGTTCAGGTTCCAGCTCAGGCCTGCCACCTCTCTGGGTCCAGGGATCCTCATCCTGAAATGGGGAAACTTGCTGACATCAGGGGGCTCAGCTCCTAAGGTCAGCTGCAGGGTCCTGTGTTTCTCTTGGAGAGTCAGGAGCTTCCGAAGGGCCTCCTGCTCAGCCACCATCACCGGATCCCGTTCCTAAGTCCTCCAGAGGCCTCAGCGAAGGAACTCCAGCCCTCGATGCAGAAATAGGCTTCCACTCCCTAGGGTCCGGCACTACAATTTACTCATTCACTCACTCAGCAAGGAGGGGGTTCGGTGGAGTGGGGTTCTAGGCTCCTGGCTCTAAGCTTTCTCCCTCGGTGGAAAGCGCCCCCATCCTCGTGGTCTATAGTTGTTCTGGGAGCAGCGCCCACTTCCCCATCTTGGCTTCCAGGAAGTGAAGGGGCTGTTTCCTGCCCTATTTGGGGGCGTGCACAAGTACTTGAGACACAGACCTTGAACCGATCAGCTTGGGGGTGGGGAGTGGGTTCCAGCCCCTCTCCTGGTTCCTCTGGGTCTCGGTGCCGGTAGCTCCCAGCGACCACGATTCCGCGGCGACCTGGGCGTAGGGGCGGGGCGCGGATCTGTGACGTCACGGGACACGCCCCGCCCGGAGGACGCTGCGCCTGCGCCAGAACGACCGCCCGGCTCCCGGAAGTGGAGGGTCTACGCCGAGCGCGCCGCCGGGTCTGGGTGCCAGGAACTTGCCCGACGGCCCCCGACCGCCATGTCGGCCTTCGACACCAACCCTTTCGCGGACCCAGTGGACGTAAACCCCTTCCAGGTAGACCCTCCAGCTGACACCTCTTTCGGGGGCCAAGGGCTGCCGCTCGGGCCTCGGTAGCCGGAACCCGGGGACGTGGCGTAGGAGGGACGGGCTGTCTGCCCAATGGCACAGGAGGGGACTTTGAGGGCTGCCTATCGTTGCGTTTGGGAGGCGGGACTACGGCAGGTGGCTTTGAGAAGGGCCGGGTCGCCGCAGCCGGGAATGGGCAGGAGTGGGTGGGGTGGGTGTCTTCTAGCCACCAGGCCGTAACACCTTTCGTCGAGCACTGTTGGGTGAGGGAGATAGCCCCAGAGTCAGGGAGAGAAGCGACATCGCCTGAGTGGGGGGGGGGGATGTCGCTTCCATATCTCGCAGCGTAGGGGAGATGCCTGCCTTGAGACACCTTTGGAGAGGGGGGGACGGGGACTCTGTGAGAAGGTGGGAGCCTTGGATGGAGCTCGGGCTTTTCCTACGTTCCCAGTTTCATCAGAGGCTCCCACCTCTCCCCAGCAGCCATTAGCGTATAGCATATAGAAAGGAAAAAAAAAACCCACAACTAACATAAAACTTCGATCGAGTCAATGCCGACTCATGGCCACCCTATAGGACAGGGTAGAACTGCCCTTGTGGGTTTCCCAGACTTACTGCTTACTAGAGTAGAAAGCCCCATCTCTCCCGCAGCAGCGTATAGGAAAGCCCCTGCAATGGTCAGAAACAGAAGGGTGGGAGGGGAGCCCAGCCTGAAGGATGGCCTTGGTGAGCATCTCACCCCTTGGGCTGGGGTCCAGTTTTGGATTGGGGTTTTGACCAGATTAGGGCAGGAAGAGAAATGAGGGGGCTTCCAGGGTCTTCTCGAAGCACAGCTAATGCTGGCCTGACCTGTGTGTGTTTGGCTGCAGGGTAGTTGAGCCATACTGGCCTGTGAGCTGGTCTGACCTTTTAACCAAAGCATCAAGGAAGAGAGCATCTTCCTATTTAAAACCCAAACCCTTTTTGCCTCTGAAACGTGAGCACTGGGACCCCTCTCTTCTCTTTCTACGCTGAAAGGCTGGGTCTCCTGTTGGCCCCTAAGCTCTTTGTGCCTCCTGCATCTGTTCCAATGGGAAGCTTGCTGGTGCTTACTGGTGTTTCATGAGCCCCAGGGTTTTGCTCGTGGGGACTTTATTTTGGTCACTGGCAGCTTCAAAGTGGCCCGCAGGTGTAGGGGAAGTTCTTGGAGGAGTCCTTCCTGTGGTTTAAAGCTTCAGCTTGTCCACCTTGAGTCTCCCAGAGGATCAGATCACAGAGAAAGGAGACTGAGCCAACAATGAACCCAAGAAAGTACCAGAGAGAGGAAAATGTCCTAAAATCCATAGTGGCGGTCATTGCGCAACTGTTTCTCACTGTGATTGGTCTGTTGAATTGTATGGTAGGGGAACTAGATGCCAATAAAGCTTGAAAAAAATGAAGGAGAGAAAGAAGGGAGGAGGACTCAGCTGATTCTATGTGAACAGGGGAGTGAAAGTAGCCTGCGTCTTTCTGGACCTCAAGGTGACTGCTCCAGTGGTCACTCCGGGCAGTTTTTGGTATCTTGGTCCCTGTAACATCTGGAGATGCAGTGCATTCCTCGTAACTTAATGCCTCTTGACAGAACCTCTGCAAGGACCTTGGCTCTTACATAAGGCCATCATCTCCAGTAGCTGTGCAGAAAGAACATTTGCATTTTTTCCTATAGCGGCTTCTGGGAACTGTTTTGCTGTGGTTACAAAATGGGTGCCTGATACCAGAGTTTTGGGGTTTTATTAAGCTGTAGGTAGCTTTGGGGTATGTGTAATGATTTGCGCCCCCACTCCAGCCTTGGCAGAATCAGGAATAAAATGTCTGCTATCTGACAGCAGTCACCATCGTTGGACTGAGTTCGGACCCGTATTAGCCGCTTGAAAGTCACAAACCACATCCCCAGCCCCAGAAATGATTGTGCAAACTCCTCTGGTAGAAGTAACTTCTGCATTCGGGCAGACCTTCTTTCTGTCCGGCAGCCCAGGATCTGGCCGGGCAGGAAGCAGCTGTGGGCCCATGAACAGCAGCAGCATCTGGGAGGGGTCACGTGTGGGAAGCAGAGGGCTGGCTGCCTGCAGTCCTGGCCTGGGTTTTCCTCTCGGTCATGGAGGGAAATCAGCAGCTTCTGCTGTCAGGCCGCCCTCCATCTCCTTGAGATGGTTGGGTCTGCTTCCCTGGGGCTACGGGCAGGGGCCGCCCTTGGGTGGCTGGGTGTGAGGCCAGCTTCATTTACCCAGGGTGTCGGCACAGAGCTCAGGATCCAGCTGAGAAACTGTCACCCGGAAGCAGCCTTCCAAGCAAAAGCAATTGTTCTTCCCTTCACCCCGTGGGCTCACAGCTGCTTCCTGCCCTGGGGAGGGCCTCCCGAATTATTGTAACCCCTACCGCTTAGAGATGAGGAAACCAAGACCTCAATGAGGGAGGCACATGCCAAAGTCACCAGCTAATTAGCCGCAGGCTGGGGCCCAGACTGGCTTCTCATTCCCAGGCTGGCGCTGTGCTCATAAGCATTTTGGAAGCCCAGCTATTGGTACGAAACTGCTTTGGGGCTATTTCAGGCCAGGGAAGAATGCACCACCACCGCCCTCACACATATTCTTGAAACCACTCGTGTAGAGGTCGTGTTGTGTGTGACACTTGCTCAGTTACTTTTACCCCTGTGTATGCATGCAAGACCAATAGTTCTAAACCCCCAGCCACTCCAAGGGAAAAAGACCAGACTTTCTACTCCCACAAAGAGCGAGTCTCAGAAACCCACAGGGGAGTGCTGCCCTGTTGTATAGGTTTCTTGTGGTCAGAGTTAACTCCATGTCAGTGAGTTTGTGTGTGTGTGATGGAATATTATAGGCTTCACTGTGCTTTTTAAAGACACTACTGCCAGCAGCATGTGCTGTAAACTGGGTTCAGAGTCACAGTAGTCCGGAAAGTTGCTCAGGGGTCTGTGGGAGCCACCAGTGACGCCACTTCCCTTGGAGATTGACAAAGCCTGCTAGTCTGTGAAAGGATTTGAGAGATCAGACATTTGTTCGACTTTTTTGACCTGCCATTTCTCAAAGTTACTCAACCCCAGAACCTTCTTTTTGCAAAGTCTTGTTAATGCCTCTCAAACCCAAGCTCACTGCCATCGAGTCAATTCCAACTGAGGAACACCAGGCGCCCGCCCTGGGGGTGCAGTGAGCTACACAGTAGGCTGTGAGCTGCAAGGTCAGCAGTTCAAATTCACCAGCCTGTCCTCAGGAGAAAGCTGAGGCTCTCCACTCGCTCGTGTCAACAGTTACTGTCTTGGAAACCCGCGGGAGTAGTTCTACTCTGTCTTTTGGGGTCACTGTTAGTTGGGAGTTTTTTTGAGTTCCTTCCTAGAGTGCCTTTAAGGTTAACTCCTCTCTCTGTTCTTTCCTACCCGCCCCCCCCTCCACTCCTCTCCCGGATCCTGCTGTCCCTCCTCCCCCTGTTGTCATGTGCCTTGGCAACTTCTTCCTTATAACTGTGACTCTTCTAAGCATGGCTGCCGAGGAAGGGGACCGTGACTGGAGAGTTGTCACCAGAGGTTTCCCAGCCTCCTAGGAGGAAGCAGGAAATCGTTAGCCAAGTGTTAGGATTTCATAATCTCCCCTCTTACTTCACAGCACAAGGCTTTGGCTCCTGTGGACGTAACCCCTCTCTGCTCTGGACTGCAGGAACCCTGACGATGCAGTGGTTGAACAAACACTCAGCTGCTTACCATGGGGTTGGGGGTTCAAACCTACCAGCCCCTCTTCGAGCCTTGGGCCAAAGATGAGGCTGTGTGCCTCCATAAGGGCTTGCAGCCTTGGGAGTG